GCACCTGGTTGCCTTCCAAGTCGTGCGAACACTGCAGCGTCTCGGTTCGCACCCCAAACACACTCCGGCTGACCTGGCAGGGAGAGTGGGGGGGAATTTGGGAGAGGGAGGGGGGAGGGGGCAAAGGGGGGAAACATGTTGTCCAAGAGGACCAGGAAGCCCTGAAAGCAACTCCAGAAGCGGCAGCTTTGTAATCTCCTCTCCGCTGCGAGTGCTTTGACATGGCCAACCCTACGAACCCTCTGGAAGGCCGAGGAAGCCCTGGAAGCGGCTTCATATGCAGCTGAACTATAAGCTCCCTGAACGTTCACCTGGCGCTGGGGGGTCGCGTCGCACGGGCAGCTCTCCTGTGGCAGTCGCCCGGGAGGCCGAGGAAGTCCCGGAAGCCCAAGAGACCCTAACAGCAACTTCATATGCCCCTAAAGTGTGAGCTCCCTGAATAGCTCCCTGGATAGCTCCCTGAATAGCTCCCTGGATAGCTCCCTGAATAGCTCCCTGAATAGCTCCCTGAATAGCTCCCTGAATAGCTCCCTGAATAGCTCCCTGAATAGCTCCCTGAATAGCTCCCTGAATAGCTCCCTGAATAGCTCCCTGAATAGCTCCCTGAATAGCTCCCTGACGTGGAAGCTCCCTGAATAGCTCTCTGAACCCCCCTACCTGGCGCTGGGGGCTCGTGCCGGCAGTTCTCCATGAAAATCATCCGGGAGGCCGAGGAAACCCTGGAAGCGGTCGAAGGTGACGTGCGTCACGTGGCTCACTCCCGTTGGCGCGCCTATCTCGATCTCCCGCTCGTCATCTGGGGGGGATCCCGGGGGGAGCGTGCGAAGGGGTGAGGGGAGAGGGGGGTAGGGGCGGGGGAAGGGGAGGAGGAGGGGGAGGGGGGACGGGAGAGAGGGGAGAGGGAGGGGGAGAGGGGGGAAGTTTCTTTGGAGATGTTTCAGAATGAACTTACTTTCTTGCCGGTGCGCCTATTTCGATCACCAAGTCGTCATATGGCTGGTTTTGAGAAAAGGGTTGGGGAAGGCGGGGGCGAGAGAGGATGGGTGGAGGGGGAGTTGACACGACATGACGAGGGAAGTTGACATGACGAGGCGGAGGGGAGTTAGATGATGTCATGACGAGGCCATCGCGGTGTCGGTTATGCGAAGAGCACAAGAAGCCATACTGGGAATAGACGCATCAACGCGATGACCCACACACACGTTGACCTACAAAAATGAGCTTCAGTGGACTTTAGAGTTAGCTAGTAACGTGGTACGTATCGCCACGACAGATTGTGAGACGTATCGGGAACGAGGATTAACCGGTATGCTCAAAACCTGACTACTGAACGTGGCGCAAGGTTTGCCAGTGCACAAGAAACGACGTGGCCGGCTTGTCAAGAAAACGACTTTTGAGACGTCTCAAAAGAACGTGGCGCAAGGTTTGCAGTGCACTAGAAACGACATGGCCGGCTTGTCAAGAAACGAGCCACCTCTGACGTCTCTGAGCAGGTCGATTAGTCTGTATTAGTATACGACATTCAAGTCGACTCCTCAACGGTCGATTCGAGTCTAAACTTCTGCTTCAGATCCGTTGGAGAGACTCTGACGGTTGAGGGACAGAACGACGAAAAAAGGCATTATTCAGGAGAACGATGGCTAGCCGTTAATGATATTACCTCGTCCCCTGGTCCGTCCGATGCGGCTGATCGACCTGACTAACTTCCAGCTGCCGTTGATGACGTCCATTCCATTACAGTATGAGTGCCCTTATTCGTAAACAGCTATCCTCAATAACATTAGTAACGTCATGAAAGGACAGTGTTAGTTCTCACTATCCTCCAGCAACCACGTGTAAGCTCCATTTCGCGTATGTTATCCGGCTGCCGTCCGTAACCTAAAATATTATGTACGGTTCGCCGAGTTCCTAAGCAAGTTGTGCCTGAAAAGGTAATTTCGAAGTCTCAGTGTGGCCGTGGAAAGCGGAGTGGAGCGTCCTTGGTTGGTTACTGGCAGGTAATGCTCCACCACACCCACGCCGACATAAGACAAACACGCACACTCTCTCTCTCTCACACACACACACACACTCTCACTCGGTCGCAGAACACCCGCACACACACTTCACTTTTGTACACGTACACACGCACACACGGAATCTGGCCAACAAGCGCACTCCACTTTGTCCAAATCCCACTCACATTCTCTCACTCTCTCACAGCCACCACACACCCACACACTCCTCCCACTTCTCACTTCTTTCCTTCCTTCGCTGATGATATGTGCAGCAACCAGCAGTACGGAAGGCAGCGGACAGACAGTGACTCGACTCGTTGTTACGCTCGTGGCATGGGAACGCCAATCAGCGGCGACGGACACGTTGGGTTGGTGGGCGATGAGAGCACAAGGGAGTGGTACGCGTTGTGACAAATTGGGACTAAACAAAATAAGCTGGTTATTGATACAGAGTGGAATTTCAATGCCTTATGTCGCAATTTTGACTTCAATAAAGCATACCCAAAGCACTCCACGTTTGCTCCTGCTGATTCACGAGCAGGCCTGCTTGTTTCGTTAGTGGCTGGCTTACGAGGTGGGAACGGACACGGATTTGGCGGGAAAAGAGCCTCGAGGCGGAGCCTCGGAGGCTGGCGTCGCTCTCGTGCCAATTTCCTTTCCGAAGCTCCCGTTTAGGCTCGTCGCTTCCGTCGAGTCTCATCTCTACCGTTTCGTCTCATCACCCTCGTTTCGTCTCGACTCGCCTGGACTGGTCCCCCGTCAACCATGACCTCTCTTCTCGCGCCGCATTCCGCCGTCACAGCCGCCTTAGATTGCGCTGCCGCACACAGAAGGGCTGAACGATCCGCGCCAGGACCTTCCCAACTGTTCTGTAGTCGCACGTTTGTTACTTCAACCAATTCCCTTGAAGGACGGTTGCGCCGTTCTCTCCGACCACAACCTTCCACGTCAGCAGCAGCTGTTTCCACGCGAAAAGCCGTAGTCGCCGCGTCGTCGTCGTCATCGAGCTCGGAGGTTCGTGCGTGCAGAACCAGCGATCCGTCTGTTGCGATTTCGTAAGCGGCCTCTCATGGTTCGTCCGCCAGTGATGCGTTTGTTGCATCGCGGCCACCGTTGACGCTGTCGACCTCGGAGGCGCGGGTCTTGTTCTTCCGCCCATTTTCTCCAGAGCCTCCCGGTTCCCCCAACCTACGCCCCACTTCATACTTCACACCTACCTATCGCATTACCTGTGAACCACAAATCATATATAAGTTTCATGATACACTTCCAATGCCAGTCCTGCTGACATCGCTGACATCAGTAGTGCAGCAGGACTGGCATTGTACCGGTGCCAGAAGCACCCGTCGCTGATAACCGTGACTTATCGAGACTTCTGTTCCAGCTCACATGTCCCTCCCTTCCCCACCCCCAGTCTCCACTCCAAAGCACTGCCATTCCTTGTGCTGCCTTCTGCGAAAAGAGGCTCGTTGCGGTTGCGGTGTGAAGGGTAGCGGTGACAAAGGAAGCAGAAGGCGTGGTGGGGTCAGAGGGTCAACGTGTCCAGCAACAACCGCCTCTTCCTCTCTTGCCCTTTCTATCTCCCCTTATTTTATTCCCAACGCTTGCCGTCGCCAGGCTGTTCTCTCCAGCTCCACTATTCCATGCCCGGACTGCAGCGGCCAGGGCTGGCTGCAGTGCGAGGTGTGTCAGGGGGAGAGGGTCAACGTGAAGGTCAACAAACGCCTCTTCCGCCGCTGCCCTGGCTGCTACGCCGTGAGTCTGTGCGCCTGTGTGTAGTTTGGAGGGTTTGGTGGGTAAAGGGGAGGAAGGGGTTTGCAGGAGGGAGATGAGGGGACGTGTGTGTATATGTGCATTCCTTAGCATGCTAGTCTGTGTGTGACTGCATGCATGTACGTTTGTATGGTCATCTTGGCCGGCTTTTACAGACAGTGAGTTATGAGTCAGACCCCGTAGTCACCTCGTTTTGAGTCAACTTAGTGTGTGTGACTGCATGCATGTTTTGTGTATGGTAAGCTTCTGCCGCTTCTACACTCAGGCCTAGCAGCACCCAGTTTCTGTCCTTTCAACAATTCGTACTGCACCTGCGAGGCGTCCTCTTCCAGGCAGCTTGTGTGTTCCCCCATTTTGCTTCCACTCTCCTGCTCTGCTCCCTGAACTTTTCGTCTTGGTCTTTGCAGCTGGGGATGACGCTCTGCCAGAAGTGTAAAGTGTACAAATGTGTCACATTTCCAGATGGCGTTGATGGTGGAGCTGTAGACGAGTAAGGGTGTGGTTGGTTAGTGCAATGTCTGAGCAATTTCTTGTTCCGGCCCCTTGAGGTCAGGTTTACCGTATGTGTTGTCGTGCTGACATGACAACCCTTTGAGCCTAAGCCCAGAGTGTACGATATTTGTCTCAAATAAATTTTGAATATTCCATAAGTCCTGTGGTTTGGGAGTTGTGTTTGGCACAGAGGCCTGAAGTTCATGATACTACTGCAGTAGTGATAAGAGTTTTTGTTTGATAAATAATGTTAAGGATTGTGATAATATTTGAAGCCATGTTTCTTTCTTGAAATGCCTCATCGAGCCAGCAAAGACACGAACTGCGTGTATTAAGCCAGGTTCTTTTTCTTCCCGCTTCAGTTCTCAAGGTGTCAGACCTCTCTGGAGTCTGGATCACTGTGACCAAGCTGTAGTCCTGTCCTGTCCCGAATCTGTCAGCGCTAATCTAAATAGCGTGCTGCTAGGAACTGTTGGACGTGCAGCGACCGCCTTACTCTGATACGCGCTCGCCAGAACTTTATTTGCCGTACTTCGACTCCATGACGGGGATCTCTTTGGGTAGGCTGACGGAAGAACGAAAAGCTTGGCGGAAGAACCATCCGCACGTGAGTCGTGAGTGGCTTGATGCTCGCAAGCTGCGGTTTTGAGCGTTTACGTAGAATGACACGTGGAATATTGTCACGCCGTGCAGGGATTTGTCGCCAGACCAGAGGCAAAAGATGACGGCTCGACAGACATGATGACATGGAAATGCGTTATACCTGGAAAGAAGGACGTGAGTAGCTATCGAATAGCTCTTTCTGTTTCTGTTTTACTCCCTTCACTTCTATTTAACACTCGCTCTATCGCAGACGGACTGGGATGGTGGCCATTATCCGCTGACGATACACTTTACGGAAGATTACCCATCGAAGCCGCCAAAGTGCAAGTTCCCTCCAGGCTTTTTTCATCCCAACGTCTACCCGTCAGGCACGGTGTGCCTCAGCATTCTCAACGAAGACTATGTCAGTATCTCTTGTAGTCGCATGCTGCTTCTCTTGTCAGCGCCGCTTGTGTCTGAGCAAACGGTTTTTACCTTCGTCTCTTCTCCCGTTCCTCCTCTTTCTTTCCCTTTCCCCCCCTCCCCCGCTCCCTGCCTCTTTCTATTTCTCATATTCTTTCTTTCTTCCCCTTTGCATCTCCGTTCTCCGTCTTCAGGGCTGGAGACCAGCTATTTCTGTGAAGCAAATTCTAGTTGGTATTCAAGAATTGCTTGACCAGCCAAACCCTGCCGATCCAGCTCAAACTGATGCTTACCAGCTCTTCACTCAGGTTCGTTAATTCCTTCGGCTATATCAGTTTTTTTGCGTGATGTGCATGGCTGCTTTTGACACCTGACTTGATTGTGCTGGGTGATTTTCTTTCAGGACACGGTGGAGTACAAAAAAAGGGTCAGGGAGCAGGCAAAGCAATACCCTTCTCTCATCTGACAAAACAATGTGGAAACCTGTAGTCAAATTTATCGCCAGTGACAAGCACCATGACAAAATAACATGGCTCAGCTCAGCTTTTTGCTGCAGTTACCATAAGCTGCTCCTAGTCTGTAGAGACTCAGCGGATCTTCTTTAGGCATCTATGGGTTGTGGTTATTCAAGATGATGAATGCTGGTTACTGTCTTGAGATTACTGCCATTCTTGACAGATCCAAGATTCAATGGATACCAATAAGGCAGGCATGTTGGTTACAGAAGTGGTGCTAAGAAATTGTGTACAGAAATGTTCAAGCAGGGAACAATATGATGCTTAGCCCACAAAACCGGTGCTTTAATACTGGACATAGCAGTGATGTTGCAGCTTTGTGTGAATGGTTATACCCTCAGCTACTGTAGTGAGGCAATTTCAAGGCAACTATGAGTGGGTACTAGGTAGGTCTCAAAGTTAGCGAACAACGGAATGTTGGAATAGAAACGAATGGGGTACAAATGAGCAACCCTAGAAGCTGTACCCCCTAGAGTGCAACTCATTATAGCCTATCATATCAATGTTCAACATTTGACACACCCCCATAGGCTAAGTGAGGGGCATCAAAGCAAGCAAGGTGAACAAACGGTCACAAGACCAGTCAAACCAAGAACCAAGGCAAGCTCAGGGTGGATCTCAAGGACACCACACAAATTCCGAGCGCAAGCAAGCGGCCACAAGGCCAGTTCAAGAGTTCACTAGGATATAAATACAAAGCACAACAAGCAGAGCAAGCAACAGGACTACACCAACCGAGGGCCTACCTCAACAAGCCCCAACTGCACACAGAACCTGTGGTGGTCACCAAGCGCCAAGGCCTTGGTGAAGACGTCTGCAGTGTTGGCCTCTGAGGCCACAAAGTCCAGGCGTGCCTGACCGCGTCGCTGCAGCTCTCGCAGGAGGAAGTACCTCACGTCAATATGCTTCACTCTGCTCTCCAGTCGAGGCTCTCGACACAGGAGGATCATGGCCTTGTTGTCAGCGTACAAGGTCGGTGCAGAGCGAGGCCGCTCACCAAGGTCAGCGAGCAAGAAGGTCAACCAGCGAAGCTCCTGTGCCGCCATGGCACCAGCGTAGATCTCTGCCTCTGCACTGGAAGTAGCCACAGACGACGACCGTGTAGACCTCCACGACACAGCACCAGCTCCCAGACTGAAGCAGTAACCCTGAGTCGAACGCTGAGTCTCCACGTCGTCAGCGTAGGAAGAGTCGCAGTGACCAGTCAACGCCACTGGCTGAGTCCCTCCAAGCACAAGCCCCAAGCCTGATGTAGTCGCCAGGTACTTCGCCACCCTCACAGCAGCTGTCCAGTGGACAGGGCGGTGTCTCCCAGTCGCAACAAAGCGAGAAAGGATGCTGAGTGGAAAGGCGAGGTCCGGTCGAGTACAAGTCATCAGGTACATGAGGCAGCCCACCAGCTCTGCGTAGGGTCCACTGGACTCAAAGGGCTCGTCAGGAAAGGGGCCCGTAAGTCTGTGGTCAACAGCAAGAGGAGTGGGCTGTGTGGTGGAGAACTGGAAGTGGAACCGCCGAAGGACCTGCTGCACCATGTGTGACTGCGTCAGTGTGATGGTGCGAGCGGCTCTGTCCCGGGTGATCTGCAGGCCAAGGTAGCGCTGCAGCTCACCCAGGTCAGTGCACTTGTGTCTCTTCTGCAGTTCGGACTTCACCTGAGCCAGGGCTGCCCTGTCTGCTGTAGCAAACACCAAGTCGTCGACGTAGACAAGGATAAAGAAAGGAGTAGAACCCGCTCGAACAAACAGCGACGGGTCGGCGGAGGACGGGCTGAACCCAAGGTCACAAAGCGTGGAGCGAAGAGTGTCGTGCCACTCACGGGGCGACTGGCGGAGACCGTAGACTGGTCGCCTCAGGCTCCACTGGGTCCCAGGTGGGAAGGTGTCAGTGAAGCCAGGAGGACGGCGCAGCCACATCTCCTCGTGCAGTCGGCCCTGGAGGAACGCAGTGGAGAAGTCGAGGGAGTGCAGCTCGTAGTCTCGCTGCGCTGCTATGTGGAGTAACACCCGAAGAGTAGTCATCTTCGGGGTCGGGGCGAAGGTCTGGAAGAAGTCAACTCCCTCACGCTGACTGAAACCCCTAGCCACGTAGCACGCCTTGAACACCGGCGGTGCTCCAGGCGGCCGCTTCACCTTGAAGAGCCACATGCCATTGACTACGTTCGCCCTGGGAGGGGGAACTGCGTCGACGTAGGTGCCTGTGGATCTCCAAGACGCCAACTCTGAGTCCATAGCCGCTTTCCACTGAGAGGCCCACGCCCCTGACACTGCCTCGCGGTAAGTGCGAGGAGTCGGTATGTCAAGGGCGTCGGGGTCTCCCTCAGGGGAGAGCAGCATGGCACACACAGAGGGAGAAGCGGCTGCCCAGTACTCCAGCTCAGACTCTCTGTCCTCTAGGACGTCACAGCCAAGGGCAAACCCACCCCCGACGGACAGAGGACGGTAGGGAGGAGCTGGCACCACACGGGTGGCGTAGTCAAGGCGGCTGGCGGCAGCAAACTCAGCGACAGCGGCAGTGAGAGCCGAGACAGACGACGGAGGGAAACGAGGGTCGGTGACAAGAGTGGTGAGGACACGTGCGGCAACAGGACGAACAGCGCGGTAGTAGTCAGAGATAGGAGTGGGGAGGGCAGGTAGAGAGGACGGAGGAGGAGACGGGAGAACGGACACAGGAGAAGGAGAACGACGACGAGACGAACAAAGGAGGGCAGTGTGGAGGTCAGTAACAGGGGACGAGTGACGAGCACGCGGAGGACAACGAGTGATCAAGTCGCGACGGACAGAGGGAGGAGGAGACTGAGGAGGAGGAGAAGACCAGACCGCCGGACGGTCGTCAGGAGGAGGCAACGGAGGAACAAACACAGGAGGAGACTGGGAGCGGACAGGAGGAGAGGAGGAAAGGCCAAGGGCCCGCAAGCCACTCACAGGTGGGAACAACCGCCGCTCTAGAGGAAGCTGCGGTGGCGGCTGCGGCCGCTGCGGCTGCGGCTGCGGCTGCTGCTGCTGCTGCTGCGGCTGCGGCTGCGGCTGCGGCTGCGGCTGCTGCTGCTGCTGCTGCTGCTGCTGCTGCTGCTGCTGCTGCTGCTGCTGCTGCTGCTGCTGCTGCTGCTGCTGCTGCTGCCGCTGCTGCTCCAGAAGGTCCAGCACCCGCAGCTCCTGCCGCTCCCTCTCCAACCGCTCCTGCTCCTCACGCTCACGCCGACGGGCAGCCTGGAGACGCGTGTTGTGGCGGTGGGGGGGCGGGGTGGACTCCGCAGAACCAGGGTCTCCAGCGTCAGTCTCCTCAGACTCAGCACCCCCAGAACCAGTACCGCCAGTGCTAGGACCTCCAACTCCAGCACCCCCAGAACTAGCACCGCTAGTGCCAGCACCCCCAACTCCAGCACCCCCAGAACCAGCACCTCCAGTGCCGGCACCTCCAGCTCCAGCACCCCCAGAGCTAGCGCCACCTGCGCCAGCACCTCCAGCTCCAGCACCCCCAGAGCTAGCGTCACCTGCGCCAGCACCTCCAGCTCCAGTACCCCGCGACCGAGCACCGCCAGCGGCTGCACCTCCAGCTCCAACACCAACCGAGTCCACAGTAACCTGTCGCGGAAGTGCCGAAGGCTGCTGAGGGGACTGTGAGGAGGACTGCGGGGAGGGAGACGCTACCTGACGCACGACCGAGGGGAGAGGGGTAGCGTGGGACACACCAGACGGGGCAGGACCAGGGGGGGGCGGGGGTACCGGAGGAGCGGGAGCAGGAGGAGGAGAGGGTGCGAGGAAGAGAGGGGGAGGGGGTACCGGGAGACCTCGACAGGGATACCGGGTGTAGTAGGACACGGACTCGTCAAACCGGACGTCACGGGAATCTAGGAACTGGTGGAGGGGAGGGTGGTAAAAGGACCAGTCAGCAGAGTCCACTGGGAAACCAAGGAAGACACAGGGGACGGCGCGTGCCGAGAGCTTGTCCGCGGAGGTGTCGCGAACAAGTGCAAGGCAGCCCCAGACTCGAAAGGCCGACCCAACACCAGGGGATCCAGTCCAGAGACTGGTCGGTGAAGCCTCGGGCCGCGAGACACGCGGCTGGAGGTTCAGCTGGTGTGCGGCGTAGCGAACCGCGTGAGGCCACAGAAAATGGGGCGCACGGGCATGAATCATGGACGTGCGGGCGATGTCCATGACCAAGCCTATGCGGCGCTCAGCAACCCCATTCTGCTGTGGGGACTCTGGCAGCGTCCAGGACTGGGTGATGCCCTGTTCGCCGCAGAATCCGCCGAGAATGCCGGAGCGAAACTCGCCCCCACGGTCGGAGTGAAGACAACTGACTCGACCACCACGAGTGCCCTCAGTGGCTAGAAGCCACCTGATCAGCGTAGCAGTCACCTCGGACTTCTTCGCAAGAGGAAACACTGTGGTGTACCTGGAGAAGTCGTCGACGACCACCAGAAAGTAGCGCTCCCTCCCAGACCCCTGCGTCGGGGCAGGGCCCCAGACGTCCAAGTGGAGAGTCTCGAAGGGAGCGGTGGCCGGACGAAGGGAGGAGGAGTGGGGAGTGGCACGTAAGCGACCGGCGACGCACGGAGAGCAAGGAGGGGCAAGCGAGGGAGGGAGCGATGGGAAGGTGCGTGGGAGACCTGTGACTAGTCCCTGACTGAGCATGCCACGAAGGCGAGGGATCGACGGGTGGCCAAGACGGTGGTGCCACAGGACGGTGCGGTGGGCGAGAGAGCGACAGGAGCAAGACGCAGCGACTGGACTGGACACAGCGACCGGACTGGACACAGCCACCTGACCGGACTCTGCTACCGGGGGGGACGAAGCAACCTGACCAGACGCAGCTACCTGCGGGGGCGGAGTGTGCAGGACGAAGAGACCTGAGTGGGGCTCTCTGGTGAACGTGGCAAGAACTGCCCCGGTGGAAGAGTCCGTACAGATCGCAGTCCTCCCGTGCGCAGGAAAAGTGACTGTGATCCCCCGGTCCTGAAGGTATCCAACACCCACCAAGTTCCGAGAGAACGAGGGGATGTAGAGACCAGTGAGGAAACCAGAGGGGACAGCCGGGCACGGGAGGGTGGTCGAGCTACGAGCAACTGCTGGTCCTGAAGTAGGATCAGCCAGGGCAACTGGGACTGGAGCCGAAAGAGGTGTGACAGTGGTGTGGTCGCGGAAGAAACACTGAGACGCGCCGGAGTCCAGCGTGAAGGAGAGCGACGCAACAGCAGTCGTCACGGCTGGGCTAGTGACTACACAAGCACCTACACTAAAAGCACAAGTACCGACACTAGCAACAGGCAAAGGTCCTAAGCTAGGTACACGTAAGCCAAGAGATCCGTACGTGACAGAATAAACAGCATCCATAGACATATCAAATACAGGGAAACCACTACGAAACAGACTGGGCCAGATCGGGGGAGCCGACTCAGGCCCAAAACGCTCACGGTAAAGGTCGTCGAGGCGGCTGTAGCAGCGCTGTGCAGAGTGGTCAGGACGCCAGCAGGTAGTGCCAGCACCAGGGCCGGTCAGGATCCGGTACTGGCAGGGGCCGACGTCGCGGCCACCGCGACGAGCCCCCCAGCTGGCTGGGCCGCTGCTGCAGCCAACGCGACCTGAACCACCAGGCCCCCATGGCTGCTGAGGGCGCCACAGCTGCTGAGGGCGCCCCTGCCGCTGCGGAAGCCACTACTGAAAAGGCCGCTGCTGCTGTCCCTGCTGCTGGAGAACCCTAGCGGACTCCATGATAAAAGCTAGCGGGGTGCAGGAGCGGCAGGCTAGGAGCGACAGGAGCGACAGGCTGCTGTGAAAAACGAGAACAACTAGGAGCGCAAGGTGAAACCAGGCGAGTAACTGCTGGAGCACGGAGCGAACTAAGCTAGGAGCGCCAGGTGAAACCAGGCGAGTAACTGCTGGAGCACGGAGCGAACTAAGCTAGGAGCGCCAGGTGAAACTAGGCGAGGAACGGCCGGAGCACGGAGCAAACTGAGCTACGAGCGAGGAGCGAGAACGGCTGGAGCGAGAACGGCTGGAGCTAGAAGCGGCGAGCTAGGGCTGGCTGGAGGTAGGAACGGCCGGGGCTAGAGACCGTAAGTGCGGCTGTCGGCTGCCGCTAGTAGAGCCACTGGCAGTGGAAAGTACGTGCGACAGTAGGGGCTGCAGTACTGACGGCTGCGGGATGTAGGCAACTGTGCAGGTCGTCCGGCAAGCAGGAACGCGGGCGACAGTAGCAGGCCCCCACTGTGAACCCCTTTTTTTTTTTTTTTTTTTTTTTAGGGTTTAATTTATTTATTTATTTTCTGGCACTAAAGCACCCCGGGGCGCGCCGCCTGCAGGGTGTGCTGCCTGCGGGGCGCGCTACCCGCGGGGCGCGCCTCCTGCGGGGCGCGCTACCCGCGGGGCGCGCTACCCGCGTGGCGCGCTGCCTGCGGGGCTGGGGTGACGAGCCAGGGAGGGCGCCTGGGCGACGGGCTAGGACGGGCGCCTGGGCGACGGGCTAGGACGGGCGCCTGGGCGACGGGCTAGGGCGCAGGCCTGGGCGACGGGCTAGGACGGGCGCCTGGGCGACGGGCTAGGGCGCAGGCCTGGGCGACGGGCTAGGGCGCAGGCCTGGGCGACGGGCTAGGGCGGGCGCCTGGGCGACGGGCTAGGGCGGGCGCCTGGGCGACGGGCTGGGTCGGGCGCCTGGGGGACGGGCTGGGGTGGGCGCCTGGGCGACGGGCTAGGGCGGGCGCCTGGGCGACGGGCTAGGGCGGGCGCCTGGGCGACGGGCTGGGGCGGGCGCCTGGGCGACGGGCTGGGGTGGGCGCCTGGGCGACGGGCTAGGGCGGGCGCCTGGGCGACGGGCTAGGGCGGGCGCCTGGGCGACGGGCTAGGGCGGGCGCCTGGGCGACGGGCTAGGGCGGGCGCCTGGGCGACGGGCTAGGGCGGGCGCCTGGGCGACGGGCTAGGGCGGGCGCCTGGGCGACGGGCTAGGGCGTGGGCCTGGGCGACGGGCTAGGGGCGCAGGCTAGGGGCGCGGAGGGCGCTAACGCGCGGAGGAGGAGGGCGCTAAGGCGCGGAAATGGCGCGGAGGGCGCGGTGGCTAAGGCGCGGAGGGCGCGGAGGGCGCGGAGGGCGCGGAGGGCGCGGAGGGCGCGGAGGGCGCGGAGGGCGCGGAGGGCGCGGAGGGTGCTAGGGCGCAAGGGCGCGGAGGGCGCGGAGGGCGCGGAGTGTGCTAGGGCGCAAAGGCGCGGAGGGCGCTAGGGCGCGAGCTAGGCTAGGCTATGCGAGAGGATCGACACCTACTCATGATACCATCTCAAAGTTAGCGAACAACGGAATGTTGGAATAGAAACGAATGGGGTACAAATGAGCAACCCTAGAAGCTGTACCCCCTAGAGTGCAACTCATTATAGCCTATCATATCAATGTTCAACATTTGACAGTAGGGTACAAAGCAGCACCAGCAGGTAGCCACTCCTCTAAGCTTGAAGGCAGCTCCTGAACCCTTCATTAAGTTCTGCCTCATTCAGGTTGCGGCCAATAAAGACAATTCTGTTGGAGCGCTTCTCATCCGGACCCCATGGCTTGTCTGGAGAACCCTCGAAAAGGGCATGCACGCCCTGCAAGGAAAATAATGTGCAGCAACAATTGATGCTTCAGCTTCAAGTTTAGGTACTGTCCAAGCTTGGAAAAAGGAAGGTCAGTAAAGTGTATTGTAGACTTGCCTGGAAGACGAAGCGTTCCCGGCACTTGTGGATGGACAAGACACCCTTCATGCGATAGATGTCATCACTCTTCTCCGCAAGCAGATCTCCCAACCAGTCATTGATCTGGATTGCCAAGGCGGCGGAAAGAATAGTGCACAATGGGTAATCCAGAACAGAACCTTTTTTTTTTCGAGATAAGAAAAGGTAGATATCTTACACAGCACAGGATGGAAAACAATGGCTTGGTGAAAGTTCAAGGCAATTGTACAAGGGACTGAGGCAGTGGAGAACACTAGAAAGTGCAGCCTACCTTCTCCAAGTCGAGGTTGCCTTCACACTGAATGCTGACAGACGAGACACCTGTTGCATGCTTCGCATGGGCTGGCAACAACAGAAACACAGGGACGGTAAGTGAATGAAGGTATTAAACTTCACTGCATTTGCAAGTTTGCAACAGTCACTAGGAAAGGAGGGGGATTGCGCACAGCAGGACAGCACAATCACAGTTGTGTCAATGTGAATTTTCCCACCGACACATACAGTAAATCTTCATGCAAAGCTCCAAAAACTAAAAGCATAGCAGCACTCCGTCTTCAAGGCGTTAAAAAATACGAAACACTTAACAGCGGCCGTGAGACACTTACAGTGGCTGTGCTTGTGGTCGTGGTCATGGTGGTGATGGTGGTCGTGGCCATGCTCCTCCGTGGAGTGATCACCACCGCATGTCCCACAGTGCTCATGCTCATGGTCGTGGTCATGGTCGTGCTCATGGTGATGGTGGTGGTCATGTGCTGCTGCCTCGTTCAGAATGTGAGGTTGCACGTCCCTCTCAATCCTGCAACAAAAAAAGGGAAAAAAAAGAAAAAGAAGAAGAAAAAAACTGAGATCGGACTATACAGAATGGATAACACGACTAAACGGAGATTAAGGCACACACTTATTGAGGTCATAGCCATTGACGCCTAGCACATAGTCCAGATCCACCTGGCCATACGATGCCATGCTTCATAAGCCTACTAAGAAATGAGCTCGTTTTGAGTCGACTACATGCAGACGCACCTCTCAAGGTCGAAACCCCCAATGCCGAGCGAATACTCCAGATCCACCTTGCCACACGATGCCGTGCTTCATTGACTGAGTTATGACCTTGTTGTTCGTTGACTCAAAAGGCACCTCATTGTGAGTTGGCTACATGAAGACACACCTTTCAAGGTCGAAGCCCCCAATGCCGAGCACATACTCCAGATCCACCTTGCCATACGACGCCTTGCTCATGCGAGCCATGGAGTTGATATCCTGCCACCGAGCCACCATTCACCCGTACAGCGTTGACCATGGTCAGGGGGAACTTCTCATTCTTCAATACACAACATCAGACAGTGCGACTTAACACACAAATGAAGAAGGGAGAAATGACGGGAATTGGATATGAAACTCGGATGTTCCATCAACTTACCTGAAGCCTCTCGACGAGATCTTTCAGTTCGCTCTCTGACACAAGGTCCACCTGCAGCACAGAGTAAGCCAGCCAGATAATATAGAACATTTTTTTAGTCAACTCGGAACTCGTATCTTTGTGTTCGCTGTCCGACACAAGGTCCACCTGCAACACGCAGTGCTCGCGCAAGCCACACATATGAACTTTTTAAGACGACTCAAAACTTGTGTCTTGCAGTTCGCGTCCGATAAAAGGTCCACCTGCAACACACTGTACACCATATCATATAAGATCACAGTACACCATATCATATCAGATCACAGTACACCACATCATATCAGATCACTGTACACATATCATATCAGATCACAGTACACCACCTACATATCAGATCTTACAGACATCCAACTGTTTGTCGTATTCACACTTGCAAGTTGCACATGGGGATGTGAGTGAGCCCATGAGAGAAAGGGAAAGGCAAGGGAAAGAGATGGAAGATGTGTGTTTGGGTGATCGATAGACCGTGAGCAAGCTTGGGAGTGGGGGGGGTGGGGTGGACGCAAGAAGGCAAGAAGTTTGTCGTTGTTGTTGTTGGATTTTTTTTTGGGGGGGGGGGGGAGGGAATAACCTTGTTGACATGACAATAAGATGGTCGCCGCAGGCCACCCGCTCCACAGCCTCGTTGTTTATCTGCTTTTTTTTTTGTTTTTTTTTTTTTTTCAGCTCACCTTGTTAACGATAAGCCGATCCGCGAAGGCCACCTGCTCCACAGCCTCGTTGACCTCCGTTGACCCCTCAGCTGCTGCCTTCTCGGCAGCATCCAGGTGGCGTGTGACGTGCTTGGCGTCCACCAGAGTCACCACTCCATCCAGCCGTAACCCCTCTGCCAGCTCCTCTTCTAAGAAGAACGTTTGAATGATGGGCGCTGGGTTGGCCAGACCTGGGTGGGCGAGGGAGAGAGAGGGAGAATGGGGTTTGGGGCATCAAGAACCACTCCGTCCGTCCGTCCAGCCGTAACTCCTCTGCGAGCTCCTCTTCCAGGAAGAACGTGTGAATGATGGGCGCTGGGCTGGCTAACCCTTGGGGGACGTACAAAAAGGGGGTAGTGGGGGTCATGGGACGGGGGCAGGGAACCCCAGATTCGGTTTTCAGATGCCTTTGAGAGCGGTACGGAAGGGGGGTCATTTCAAGAGAGCCCTGGATCCAGGTACAACGCTCACCATTCCTCTTGGCAGTAATGCGATCGCCGAGCATGCACACAAGCCCCCCCCCCCCCCCACGGTGCAGTACAGGCATCCATTGTTCAGCACCACCACGTCCTCTCCTCTCCTCTCCTCTCCTCTCCTCTCCCCTCCCCTCCTCTCCTCTCCTCTCCTCCTCTCCTCCATACCTCACCACTCACTCTCTTGCTCACCTTCTTACTCGCTCGCTCAGGCAATCACTCCCTCCCTCCCGTGCTCACTCCCTCATTCCTCCCTCGTTCACTAACTCTCCTGTGGTTTCCATCACGATATGATCGAACTTGTCCCTCTTCGTGGTAGTCAAGTCGCTCAGCATGCGCACTAAATCCCCCCGCACGGCGCAGCACAGGCATCCGTTGTTGAGCACCACCACCACGTCCTCCAACCCCGCCAGCGCTCACCACCCACTCACCCACCCACTCACCCACCCACTCACCCACCCACTCACCCACCCACTCACTCACCCACTCACCTACCCACTCACCCACCCACCCACTCACCCACCCACTCACCCACCCACTCAACCACCCACTCACCCACCCACTCACCCACCCACTCACCCACCCACTCACCCACTCACCCACCCACTCACCCACCCACTCACCCACTCACCCACTCACCCACCCACTCACCCACCCAGTTGTTGACTGCCCGACCTGTGGTCTCAATCACAATGTGGTCGAACTTGTCCCTCTTGGTCGTGATGAGGTCGCTCAGCGTCCTAACAAGGTCGCCTGTAACGGTGCAGCACAGGCACCCGTTGTTGAGCACCACCACCACGTCCTCTCACTCCATCCCTCCATCCCTCCCTCCTTCCTTCCTTCCCACCCTCACCTGTGGTTTCAATCACAATGTGGTCGAACTTGTCCCGCTTAGTCGTGATCAGGTCGCTCAGCATGCGCACTAGATCCCCCCGCACGGTGCAGCACAACAGGCACCCGTTCTTGAGCACCACCACGTCCTCCTAACCCCACCTCCCATCCATTGCCTAATGCTCACTCCAACACTCCCCCATTCACTTACCTGTGGTTTCAATGACGATGTGATCAAACTTGTCCCGTTTGGTCGTGATCAAGTCACTGAGCATCCTAACGAGGTCGCCTCTAACGGTGCAGCACAGGCATCCGTTGTTGAGCACCACCACGTCCTCCGACCCCGCCAGCGCGTCCGCCACGAGCGACCCGTCGATGTCCACCTCGCCGAACTGGGGGGATTAGATGGACGGACGGGATTCAAGAATCGGGATTCAATGGACGGACGGGATTCAAGAATCGGGATTCAAGGGACGGGATTTGAGTAACGTAAGCCAAACGAGTCGCCACGAGCAACCCGTTAATGTCCACCTCGCCAAACTGCGGAGAGAGGGGATTTGGGAATTGCGGGAAGGAATTTCAGAGATCACAAGGATTGACAAACGACAAGGTAGAGTACAGATCCTGAAAGCTCAACTCTCAACTCTCTCGCACGGACGGATGGCATCATAACAGAAGGCCCACATCTCGTTGCTTGCTTGTCACCAAGCCTCGCTCGTTTAGCTGGTTCCTAACGGCTTGTATATAAATCTCGCGTACATGGTTTTCATTATTACGTGTAACTATCGCGTAGCTGGATTTTAATGACGATTAACTTCGCCTACCTTGTTCTCATCTACTTGGAGACTTGTAACTCTCGCTCACCTCGTTTTCGATGACAGCGATTCGTTTGCCGTGGTCCGCCTTGAGGATGCAGTTTACTTTTGAGTCGACTCAAAAGCATTCAACAGCGTCGTCTTTTGAGCGGCCTCGTAAAATAACTGTCGACTTGGCTCACCTCGTTCTCAATGACGGCGATCCGTTTGCCGTGGTCCGCCTTGAGGATGTAGTTCAGCAGCGTCGTCTGCACCCAAACAAAAAGGTTACAGGTGAAAATAATATAATAATCAAGTTACGGGTTACGAACGTACAATAACTGAAAAATAACTGAGGGTTGCCGTTTGCGGTAAAGTCCTTATCCGGATCACGCGCATTCAAATGTGAGCACTGGTGTCGAACTCTGCCCGAAACCGAGGAAGAGGGTGATCATGGCGAAAACTTCAAGTCGTAGGATGGGGTGGAGTGGGGTGGGGTAGGGTGGGGTGGGATGGGTTGGCACGGGAGAGCCATTCGTGTCGCACCTTGCCGGAGCCGAGGAAGCCGGTGATGATGGTGACGGGCGCGCGGGTGTCGGGCTCGAGATCCGACAGCATGTCCTCCGCCGACTTCTCCGCCTCCGCCTGCTCGTTCGCCACGCTGCCGCGATTTGCGGAAGGAGGGGACACGGATGGGGGAAGAAGGGTAAGGGAAGAGGGGGAAACCAAAAGGAAGAATGGTGCTTCAAGAAAGACATAGAAACTCCTTTCTAATTTTGTTTTAAAACTTAACCCCGTGTCTGTGTTGCCGGCATGTGTGTTTCTATCGCCTTTTCGTGCAATAGTATTTTATTTCTGCCCACGAATCCTTATCAGAGCATGTGGTCCTGATTGTGTTTCCTACCACTTATTTTCTCTCAAAACACTCGCTTGCTAAGCTTTGGAAGACGAACCTGCAGAAGGTTCGCGCGGGGAAGCTTCGTCGCGCGACGCGCCGCACCGTTCGCGAGGCATGAAGCGGTCGCTCGACTCTTAACGCTACGCTCGAGATACTGGAAACAGTCGTATTTTGTCGCACGCGACTCGCCGCGATCGACGGTGCGGCGAAACGAGTCGTGAAACGGGCAAGTGCTTTCAAAGCTGCCATGCTATCCAATCCTGTGCAGAGTGCTTTCGCAGCGTAACAGGCGAGGACACAGATCAGTGCAGAACTCGATCCCGAAGCGCTATAGCAGCGGCACCGAGAAGAAGACGCTAGGATCTCAGAGCTCAGATGAGCACAGCAACGACGGGAGCTGACAACCACGAGTAACAAAGGGGAAGTGGAGTCAAAAAGTTACTATTTCTCGTGCAAGGAAGCCTATGTACGCGAAAGGGAGCTGGCAGCTGGACACGGTGCAGCAGACACGTCACACTAGTCCTGAAGTTGAGGTGAGGCAAGGTTGAGCGACAGAGTCTAAAAGACTCGGTTCGGCTAATCCGAAGCTGGCTTCGTGACGGCCGAGTCTCTCTATTGGAGGTGTTGGCAGCTCTGAGTCGCATCCAGCTTGATGACACGACATGCCCATTTGTAAGCGTTTGACTGTTACCTTCTAGAATTACTAAGCAAAGGATTGCCTTAGCACCACAGAATGTGTCGCAGGTCCAGTACCTAAAAGCACCACGCCCTGGACAGAATGCGTTTTCAGACTTCGGGTCAAAACGAGATGTCATCGTTGTGGCTGAATTCCTGGACAGGGGAGTTTCGATGAGGTTTGGGTTCAGATTCAGTTGTCCAGGAGGAGGTGCGAACACTCGCGATTGTTCGTGAACCTTCGCCGGGAAGCAGAGGAGGCCGAAAAGGCTTGCTCGATAAGGGCGGGTCCAACTTTGTACACTGCCGTTTTTTTCTTAATTTTTATGTCAATGCACCCGTCAAAATTGACTGTACCCCTGGGCGTACTTTGTGCGTTTCCTGACCAGTTATCGAGTGTACAATTCGGACTTCTAAAAGGTACAGTATCGAGGCGCGGTACGGACCTCGGAAAGGGTTACTGAGTATTGCGAGATATTGGCGCGAGGTTTTCAGCACCTGTGGCGGAGGCCAAATTCAATGACGAAACAATTTAACGAAATCCTAGCGTTACTGTTTAACTTTGGAAGACGCGAAACGAGCTGGGAGACGAATTGATGGTGAACATTTGGATGTCTTCCGCACGTTCCGAGAAACGATTCCGAATTGGTAGCTTTATGTACAGTCTCGCGTCAAATGAACATCCGTACGTTAGAAGTTCTGTTACATTCTAAAATCGGGTAACTGAGCTGAAAATAAAGCGTACATGTACAAAGTTGGACCCGCCCTAAGGCAATGCTGACGCGGGCTCCCACGGTGTCTGCATCAGCAGCAACATTTCGCTGGAAGTGCAGCGACAGGCTTGTCAATTCGACGACGTTCGGTGAGAAGCCACAATGGCATGAATCTGGTCCGGCGAGCTTCGCTTTGCTGTGTTCAATACAAACTACAAGTCATAAAATACACAACTAAGTCAACGCAGAAATTTAAGATTTGGAAAACCCAAACATTATCTAGTGTAAAGTACAACAAATAAGAGGAAAATAAATACATCTCGTAGTCCCAAGTGCCTCGGAGAGACAAACTGTCACGATTTCGGCAATTCAGGTCTCGCCCGACCCCTTTCAAGATTTTGACGACTCTGATGCAACGAGCACTTCAACACAACAGCATGCATAGCCAACAAGCTTGCACCAAGCCCACCCACGTTAGCACAGTGGTGTAAATACACAAGCAACTTTAATGTATGGTGTACGGTACCACTAGATTAGTAGCACACGCAAAAGGAGATGGGGTGAGCTAAGAGAGCGAGGGGAGGGGGGGGGAGGGGGAGTTACAGGAGTGGGAGGGACACAAAGAAACAGGGGTGGGCGAAGGGGGAAGAGGACAGGAAAGGGGGGTTTTGAGGAAGGGGGAGAAGTGTTGGAAACAACTGATTTAGGCGCCTCTGTCGTGTCGAAACACCAAGACAGAAGCGAAGTAGCTCGTATCGAAATATCGGTGAGTCAACCCTCGGAGGTTGAATAACTGTTGGAGGTTACGCGAAAGTCAAAGGTCAGCGACCTTTGACCTGACAAATGCAGCGCGACAGCAAGGACAACCAACTGTCTCGATACTGAGCAGTTGCCCGAGTCGACACTGTATCGAACCGCAACAGCAACAGTAAAACAGTTAACTGTATCTCTTCATATTCCTTTGTATTCCTATAAAAGCTTGTATCCCTTTTATTATCATCAACTTACTTTGCCCTCACATACCAGTGCAAGGTTGTTCACAACTCTTTAATTAACGCTTCCGCTACTACACCAACTCTACCCAGAGTTCACCCCTGCAAAGATCCTAAGGGGCTTTTCAGCCCAACATTGTATGAGAGCTACCGTCATCGCCCGGATATAAGACATATATGTCTTATCTCATATACTAAAAAAAATGCTTGGGTTATCTTGTATTTGGGGAGGTTTTGGGTGTCTTATAAGTCTTATAAATGGAAACCTTTTTAAACTACTTAGAAATATTTTCACGCATCTTGAAAAGAGTTTCTCATTAAGAGTGTCGATGTTGCGAAGTTGCCACTTCGGCAACCATTGTTCGGAACGCCACGTCATCCCGAATACTTGCAGAGTCAAATTTGGTAGTATGTGACTCAGCACGTGGCAGAATTCGCGTGTCGCAAGGGTAAAAATGTACGCGGTATTTCAATTTTCACTATAATACATTGCAGTTTCGATTATAAGACACATATGTCTTATCTCGTACACACAAATAGGTGTCGTATAAAAAGGCTAGCCTGTTTATAAGAGACACCCGTATAATAGACAACCCCTGTCTACTATTCAACACTGTCTTATATCCGGGCGATGACGGTATCAGGGGGAATTCAACTTCTATACCGACAACATCAACAAGCATGGCTACACAAAAGGAAAGGAGCAACTCCAACGGCTCCCAGGGCACTACTCCTACTCCACCTCCTGCCTCTGGCCTACAGACAGAGGAGGGCACAGCAACAAGACCCAGAGCAACATCTACCGAGACTCCCGCGAATCAACCTGCAGACTTCGACCAGAGCATGATGGAGAAGTTTTTCTCCTTCATGTCCTTCTACGAGCAACACCAACAATCGGCACCTGCGCAGTCACACAACAGCAACAACAACGGAGCAACACCCATGAGTCTCGACGGCTCATCATATGCACGAGGAAATCAACAACAGCAGCCTACCTTTGCTCCATCAACAACAGCAGCCTACCTTTGCTCCGTACGAGCGCGGGTCCATCAGCTTTATGCCACACCCACAGCCTTCACCTGGACAAGAAAAATCACTGGACGCATGACAAGTTCAGTCGCAGTTCGCACACGTTCTGAAGATGCAGACGTCAAGACCTTTCGATGGAAAGGACTTCTTCACCTGGTCGTTTGAGTTCGAGCTGATGATGGAAGGCGCGCAGATACTCGGGTTCTTCGACGGATCTCTGCCATACCCAACAAACGGCACACAGTACGAGAAGCAGCAGTACACCTATCAGTCAATGATGGCATACACGATCCTACTGAGGAATATCACCCCGACTCAACAGCAGAACATAAGGTCTTACCGAGGTTACGGCAACTCCGCGGAGCTCGCGTACAACCACCTGAAGAGCCTGTATCAAGCAACAGACAGCGTAAGCCAAAGTCGGTTAATGGCGCAACTGACAACGGTTGAAATGAAACCAGGGGAGAAAGGAATGGCGTATATCAGTCGATGTCGCGAGTTGCGCGACAAACTTCATCGATGCGGAGGGTCGATCTCTGAAGACGCCTTCGTAACAGTCATCATCGGCGGCCTCGGTCCTCAATGGCGCGCCACAAAGGCCATTCTCCGAGCTCACGGAAGAATCTCCGAAGCAGCGCTCTGCGCCGAAATCCACGCCGAGCAGCAAGACATGGACCTGCAAGAAGAACGACACAAAAAGAAGACATCAGCACTGGAATTCGCGTTCCACACTCAGCGACGCTACAACAACAACAACAACAACAACCGGCAGCAACAACCGAAGCCAGTACCTCCGTTCTGCCACATCTGCAAAACTTCAGGACACCCGCGTACGCACTGCCCAAATCGTCAACAGTCAACAACTCCACAGCGACAACTTCGACCTTCAAGCAGCCAAATCGCCTCAACGCAAGCAAATCCCACGACCCAGATTCAAGCCTCAACGACTTCAACGGGACAACCTGCACAAGGAGCAAGAAACATCGTCAGCTGCATGGCAAAGCTGAGTGACTCCTGCATCACCGAGTCACCACCACACTACTCACCGGAAGAACAACTCGACGAAACCACACCCCAGCAACTGTCCGCAGCAACTGTCGCCAACAACAAGCGAACACGACGACAAGGCGTAGTTCAACTTCAGTCAAGGGAAACAAACGTTATACTGCAGATGTCAAAAGTACTAATCGCAGAGGGACTCGGCTACAACTTACTGAGCGTCAGTCAGCTAATGGCGAAAGGGATTCACCTCGAAGCAGACAGCACCACCCAAGAATTCAAGCTGTATCATGGGAGAAGAGGACTTTACATCGGCAAGGCGGTCCTCAAGAACAACGTCTTCGTTCTTGATTTTGTTCCTGATCTTGGCACCGCCGACAGCGACGCCATCGTTAACTTCACCAACTGGACACACCCTCCAGGACTTGATCCAGACTTCAGTCCAGAAGGCTTCTGGTACTCACACACCATCCCTGAAGCAGAAAGAACAAGGGCGTTAGCAACAATTCAGACAACATCGGCAGCAGCAGAGACAACATCGGCAGTAGCAGAACCATTAACGGCAGCAGCAGGAACGTCAACACCAATTGCTGGTCCTTTAACGACACCGCTCCTCATCGACGACACACCACCGACACCCGCGCAACAACTACACCCAGCACCACAAGAAGTTCATCGTAGCGCCAACTTCACCGCCAACTTCTACTCCAACTCCGATATGTACCGACGATCACCCGGACATCGCGCCGACGAAAACACCTGGCACGCAAGGATGGGACACCCAAGCAACACAGTATTAAACAATACGATAAGAGCAGGAGTACTCGACAAGGACTCACTC